CATGCTCATACATATATTTTTCATATGAATTTACTGGAAATTGTATTTCAGTATTTGAAGATTCATGAAATCTGATGTACTTCTGATCTACTTTTGTTAAGTGAACATCAGGTCCCCTTCAAGTCCAGCTTTGCTACCTGATTGTGGCAGGTTGGGGATAAGTACTCCTGGGAGGAATCCATGAAGAATGCTGGGAATATACTCTGAGAGCATATACGAAGTCACCCAAGGAATGAGGATCACCCAGCTGCATAGCTAAAGAAAATAGGGATCCATGCTGGGCAGCAGCTATACGGGATAACATTGCAGATGGATTTTTATTCTAGTAACAATTTTTATTCTAGTAACAAAGGCATAATTTCATATTGTGCAGGAGAAGGCATTGATAAAGCATTCCTGTATTTTTCCAAGAAAATCACATGGATAGGCAAGATAAAGTTATTGGATGGCACCCAACATGCTGAGGAAGAGCTTAGGATATTTTGGAATAGGAATATTGTTATAGACGCAATTAGATTAAAACTGTCTAGTTGTTATTGCTATGAAGGAAAAGAGAATCCAGTCACAGTGGGAACATGGAACAGAAGAACCCAAAATTTGGGAAAGCTTAAAAGTGAAAGTTGAATTGCATAAAACAAACATTAGTATCTTAGGCACTGGCAAATAGGAATGGACTGGAATTAGACACTTCTTTTATCAGAAAATCTTAATATTTAGTACTCAAGACATAAAAAAGAAAGAACAGTAATGCTTTTATGTTCAGGAAGGATATAGCAAAGATATTACTTGGATACAATGCAGTCAATGATCAGGTAACCTAAAACCAGATTAGAGACAGATTGTCCTGGAGAAAATTTGTAATCATTGTAGCTTAAATGTAACTGTTAGGAGTCAAAAAATACTTAATGGCACATAATCAAATAGATCATGGGTGTCAAACTCATGTCATCGTGGTGGCATCATGCAACGTATTGGGACTTTTTCCCCCTTCGTTAAACCAGGTGTGGGCATGGCCAGCATGTGACGCATCCTGGCCACGGGCCGGGAGTTTGACAGCCCTAAACCAAATGAAGTACTGTATAGTCAACTCCTAAGAAATTCATCATGCTTTGAAGATGGAAGCAAAGAGAAAAGGATGACCAGTAATAAGATGGGTGGACTTAATTACAGCAGTGAAGATTGGAAAATTGGAATACTTAACTAACCAGTTTGGGGATAGATCATTCTGGAGAAGGTATAGCTATGTACTCATTAAAAGTCAAGACCAACTCGATGGCATGTAATAAATCAATCAATCAATAGATCAGGTCATTTTATAATTTGCAAGGACTGAATTCCTCAGCATCTCTAAGCCTTTTTTTAAAAAAATAAAGATGCATGCATTAAAAATTCTTTTCTTTATGTACAAAAATCATTCTGTTTTGAGGCTGATAATCTTATCTACTATTTTTTGATATTTTTTAAAATTGCAGAAATGAACAGCAATAAATATGGGAGCCTGAGTGGCACAGCAGACTAATGCTACTGTTAAAAGGTAGTATTTAGCTCCTAGCTGCCTGCAATTACTGCGAGTTCAATTCTCACCAGGCTCAAGGTTGACTCAGCCTTCCATCCTTTCTAAGGTAGGTAAAATGAGGACCCAGTTTGTGAGGGCAATAAGCTGACTTTGCATAAATTTTACAAAAGTATGAAGGCTATTGCTTAACGCATTGTAAGCTGCCCTGAGTCTCCGGAGAAGGGCGGCATATAAATCAAATTTAAAAAAAAAATTCGTAAAGACATATTATACATATTTTTAAAAAACAACAATCATTCTCTTCGTACAGAAGGAGAAACAAAAGAAATGACAAAACTACAATTATATTCATTTATGGCGTCTGATCAAGAACAATTCACAGTTTAAATATTTAAGCTAAGTATTTAAACTATTGAAGCAGGATATTTACCTTTGAGAGATAAAGTAATATAATGAGAATTTTTAGGATTCACATTCATCTGTCTAAAATAATTTGCAAGTTGTGCAATGTTGAAACTTGGATGACACTGTGAATCAGATCTCATTGTAGCAATGTCACTGAAAAATTACTGATCCATTTAAGAAAACTCAATCCTTGGTATACTTTGTAAATTATTTATTGTTTCTACTGCTCTGCTTCTATAACTCTGAGTAATTAGGAACTATAGGTCATTAGGTCAATAAGGAGGTTCTGATTTTACTTTAAGCTAAGGCTGCCAGATCTGGGCTCCCCAAATTCTAGGTGGATGATTAATGTACAGTAATATCTCTGTGTCTCTTCTAGGTCATCTAGTGGTTGTTCAGATTTTTGCAGCCAGATTTAAGCAACACCAAGATAAAAATAATACTGTTATTTCATTCAACAAAGTGCTATATTAGTTAATTTCTAATGTGGCTGGCCTTTCTTTTGACAATGGAAATATTACGTTTCTTCAAAGTGGTAGCATAGAAAATCTAAATTAACATAGAAATTAGTTATTATTCATTTCTGATTGTACATTGTAAGCACGCAGATTCTAGTTGTGCTTTTTAGATTATTCCATTGATTAGCGTAATGAAATGGAAAAAGAAATTAATGGTATATATGCATGTACATATCTTGGAGGATGAAGGTTGAGATAAAAGTTTCATAGAGGCTGTATGAGGTACAGCTGGCAAAATGCTAAAAATTATTTAATAAATTTGAAGACTATAGTGCTAAAAACTCATCCCCCAAAAGTCCTACTTTTCTGGCCAATGGGAGTTAACATCAACTTGATGGCACATAATCCATCCATCAATTGCTAAAATGAATTATTAACATTACTGAAATCATATCCCACAAGAAGAATCACCTGGACTTCTGTGTCTGAAAAATAAAGATTGAAATTATGATTTTCAGTCCTCTCTTAGGCATGAAAGCCAGCTGGGTAACATTGGGCTAGTCACTCTCTCTTAGCCCAAGTCACCTCACAGGATTATGGGGAATGTAGAAGGTCAAAGGAGTATTAAGTATGTTTGCTATCTTGAGTTAATTATAAAAATGGGATAAAAGCAAATAAATACTTAATAGTATCCACATATTTTTAATTTACTGTTTTGGGATTATTAAAATCCACATACACTATTAAGAAACTTCCTGAAAGATTAACCAAGCTAAATGAAATTATTTAAAAGGAAGAATAGAAACTGGATACTGAGGCAACCTCTTTACCCTGCCAAACCTCAACTTTTTCGCATATTATGTTTTTACTGACAAGGAATGGTTTGATTCTTTGCTATACTTGGAACAAATGCTTCACTAATTTGGACTGTGGTTGAAAAGCAATGAAGCATTAGTGGCTTAAAGCAACAACGGATAAAACAATGCAAATTACTTGGGGGTTTGGAATCCTGATAAAATGTTCACCAGGTTTTTTGCCTTTTCCATGTAGTTCCATATTTCAAATGTAAGATCTCATTTGGTTTTATTTCATGGAACTAACAGGCTGTGAAAAAGCAGTTCCCATGCAGTTAAGAGGATCACACTACAGCTACCACTCCTTTGGGGGCAATCAACATAGCTATCACATTCAAAACCTCTCCCACCATGGTTTATTACACACTGATTTTTTGTACATGGAACACAGCCTATAGCATCATCAGCCATGTTGCAGCTACATTGAGAATCCCATAAGATTTGGGCCTTAGGCACAAAGTAGAACAATAAAATAGCAGCCAAGACTACAAAGATGATATTTTTTAAAAACAAAATAAAACAGATGGTTGGATAAACTTGGCATTTGGTCCCATCACAAAATCCAGAGGCTATCCAGAGTATTTGTTTCTGATGGTAACTGCTGCTTTAGCAAACTGCTGATGGAAAAATAATTTGGCAGTCAGTTATTCTGTAGAGCTCATTACCCATTAGGATATACAGTACCATGACATGTAATGACATGTGTAAATTCAAAACAGGATTAGACACATCCCTGGTGAATTAAACTTACTAATATTTACTAATATTTCAGCAAAAACATGTTTTGGAAGAATCCTACATGTCTCTTCACAGTCAGATTCATGTTACGATTGAATAACATGATGGTTTTGGGGATAAAAGAGAAATCAATGACTAAAACATTGTTTTCCAATTATGAGAGCTGGAAAACAGGAGTTGGATCCAGATTAAATCATTCAAAGACACACTGAAATCAATGGGACTTCAGTTCATCAGGATTTCAAAAGTCAATTTAAATATGACTAAATCCAGATCTATTTTTCTTTATTTTCAGTTGGTTGGCTATAGAATAAATTTATCTGGAACAGGAAGAGTATGATTGAGATGCCAAAAGCAGTTAACAGTCACTATGGATATCAAACAGCCTTATTTTCAGTTTTCCACTTTCTCTTTCTCTGTTGTGCATATATTTTTGTGCCTGTCTGTGTGAGCTTTGTGCAAGGGTATCTATACATGAACAAGAACACGTCCTATATTGGTTGATTATATTATCTGACTTCTCTCTCTCCCAATTTTCTTTTCCCCAACCCATTTCCCTTCAGATACCTTAGACCACAAATCCAGTCATTCTGGCTGGTATTGATGGGTATAGTCAAAATTGCTCCACATTGTTCAAGGTCACCTTCCCTTCTCAGATTTTTTTTTTTTAAAATTGTATTTTATATATCTGTGTTTTAAGGGCAACATGAACTATTTATTTATTATATTTATTTGAAATGTGTTAATATTTGGTTAATACTGTATATGTTAAATAAACACACTATTTGCACACTTTGTGATCAAAGTAATAACTGATTATGAATTTATCATGATTAATTGTGCTGTTTTCTCTATTGTCTTTTCTGAATGTTTTACTGTATATAATATCTTTAACTGATCTCTACAGAACCAATACAACCACTGATCTTGGATGGTTTAGAAATGTAAGAAACTATTATTGCAAATCATGATATTAATAAAAACAAAGAACACCATTCTTTGTTTTTCAAATAAGCAGTCCAGAATATCATTTCTTTTGTTTTTTATTATACCTTGAAGATCTAGTCCGTTTCCTCAGTCTTGGTGACAAAATTGTTATCTCTGCACAAATATGCAGGTACAAAGATGAAGAGATAGCTTTATCCTTTCTTCCTTTGGTTCTCCTTGGGTTCCTACTGTTTATCCAATGTTTAGGACTGGGTCTTGCCAGAAGTTGGACCTGAAAAATTCCAAGTGGCTATTTGGCTAGCCTGAGTTCAAATGTGAATAGCAATAAAGGGCATTTTATAAAGTTGCCTGGCAACTACAGATAAAGTCTTCAAGTCAGTTGTAGGTCAAAATTGGTAGATTATGAAGAAGACTTGTATAACGATTCAGCGTCTTGGAACAGTAGGAGAATCTGACAGAAAACTGCTCAGTGAATCCCTCTCACACAGGGCTGACATCTGGTGCAAATATTTTGCTTGTCTTCAGGGCATTTTGACTCTCTGTGCATCTTAATTCAGTTTGTGTTCTTAAAACGTCCTCAGTTATATCAGACAGAACCTTGTAAAAGCAGGAGGGATATTAAAGACATTATTCAGAGAAATAAGGTTGCTGTAATTGTTTCCCGTAACCCTAAAAATTCACATACTCTGGCTCCAGTTCAAGAGGGATAATTTATTATGGCCAAAATTTAAAAAGTCAGATGATGCATCCATTTTAAAAAGATGAAGCAGATGTGTGAGATAGCTAGCTAACTATGAAAGCCATGAGAGCACATTAATGCACTGCATGTGACAAGCAGGCACTTCCTTCATGCTGCCTATCTAGTATTGATTAGCTGTTTTCTTTCATTAAGCAGTTGAGAAGCACACGAAGAGTTACTTCTTAGCAAAGGGGCTGCTTTGCCCCAGAGGCAAACTTGGAAGTGTACTTAGGTCTCTTGATAATATTTCCTAATCAAATTTTCAAAGAATTTGCAGGATTCTTTGCAGCAAATGATTTGAACCTTTACTTTCAACACAATTTGATGTTTCTGAAATAAACTATATAAAAACTAGCCATAATGTTCTCTTAAATTTTAAGGTAGCTGTAAAGAAAATCCACAACATGCTTTGAAGATAAGGGCACTAATACTATAGGGAAGAGTTGAATTTTTATTGTGCATTGCTTCTTCCAGTAGACTGCTAAACTACTGTATGTTTGTTATAGGATAACTACATTTTTACTGTTAATTTTTAATGTGAGAGAAAAACCTGCCATTTGCTCTTACATGGAGTTAGAAGGGGTTTCAATTTGTGTCTGAGTGCATAAAAATGAATTCAACAGAGACGTAAAGCTAAGTAAAACAAGATTTTTTCTGATGCATGAATTCTGCCAGCCATCACTGTTATAATAAAATTGAAGCTATAATCAGATCAGAGATTAACTGTCCCCCTTGTTCAGTCATCCTCTTTTCTTTGTTGTATTTTAAAAATGCGTTGCTACTAATTCCACAACAAATATGACAGATTAGGAGCAGAGTTTTTAAACTTGCAACTGTGTTTGGTCTCGTTTTGATCTACAGTAGGTTGAAAGATAAATAAATGATTAAGTGGTAATGTAGCGGAATATAGCTTCACCTATTAAAATCTGCATATGCAGTACTTCTTAAAAATGAGAGGAAGTTTTTATTCCCTATCTGCAACCCTATGCCAGCAATAACTAGAGAAAAATGATGCTTTACAAATGAAAAGCAATGTCACCTTTATGAGTCTTCAAATCACATTTTGACTCCTGACAATAGCCTGGATTAGTCCCTGCAGCTTTCTTGGCATTTTTAGATGTTTGCACTCCTTACTTCCTAGGGCCGAGAGAGGATGACTTGCCCAAGATAACACAGCTGGTTTCATGCCCAAAGTTGGATTAGAACTCATGATTTATAGCTTGGTACCTTAACCACTATTTTATATGGATCTTCAATGCTAATGAAGTAGTGAATATTTGAGCACCATGCATTAATTTGTACTAGTTTTTAAATAATAGATTGCAGTCTATAGCAAAACTGCAAGTTTACAACACAGAAATTTTATACAGCAAGTATATCCTGCAGGGATCTATCTATCCACTGCTCCATCCCTAAATATGCATTCCCTAAATAATGAAATTTATTTATTTAAGACATTGATACGGCTTAAATAAGTCATATCAATGTCTTATTTAAACTCAAACACTGGGACAGTTTACAATAAATGCAAAATAAGCAAAGCAAATAAACAATTCAGTTAAAATGAAAGCAAACCTATGGTAGGCAATCAGGAGCTTGCAACTGTTACCTTCCTCCAGACAGGAATGCCAATATCTGAGCTCCAGCAGCTGAGGAGAAAATCAGATTTTTAATGCCTTTCTAAAGGCCAATTTGGACAAAGGTATATTTAATCCAGACAAAGGTTTATTTAATCAAAATAATTCAAGGTCACACATTTTTCCAAGGTAATCATTCATCATTGAAAAATTGTGTGTCTTTAGGGATTGTTTTAAAAGCAGTCTTAATTTATATTTCCATTCTAGGGTATTGATTTTTGGAATGAAAAAATCAGAAGACAAGATAGTGGAAGATGCTGCTCTATGCTCTCATAACTCATTAATCAATAAAACAGGGGTTTTGTCTGATTAGAATAATAAAAAAAAATTCTAAAAAGAAAAATTCTACTTCTGGGATTTTTTTCAACATCAGTGGGTAGCCTCAAGCTCTGGGATTCCCTGGTATTCTCCCAATGAAGGATAATCCTAGACAAAGTAAGCCAGGTGCTGCCATCTGTTGAGAATATATATAAAATCTTCTCCATAAACAACCTTTATATGCCTGACTAAAGTGGGAGGCAACACGTTAACTTGCATAACTGGAAATGCATTCTACATGCCACCTCCACGTTTACAAACATGTGCATGTGTTAATGGACACATGATTTATGTTTGCCCAACCACCTAGATAAAAGTGTATTGCATTGTACTTCTATGAAGATCTTTGTACAAACTGTACATTGTTAGCATAAACATCTTCACATGCTACAAATTAGCAAACTGCAGCTTATACAATGTAACAACTAGATAAGAGAAGGGAAAGTGAGATGAAAGTCATGATTCTGAATTACAAAAGGACATATTATTTTCCCCTTTCATTACATGCACCAAGTTTTTAGATATATTTTAGGAAATTGTACCACCAAACTGAGTTCTTCATAATTTTATCAACTTAAATGGCTGATATCAATGCAAGGAAGAACCCAAATGATAAGCTTGATTGACAATTTTTTTTTGTTACATCGTTTTATGATTTTTTTCAGGCGAACTGAACCAATTATAGCAGAAGTGTTTGAAAAGAAAATAGCCTAAACATGGTTTATCTAATTAAAATATTACTAAACACCTTTAGCCCTGTAATCACTGAGGCTGAACTCAGTGATTACAGAGAAAAACATTCTAGTGAATTCATTCTGCGTTCAAGATGAGTTGCTCATTGACATATCAAATGATACGGCTATGGGATACTGTAATCTTTGATAGGCATATTCAGAAATAAGTTCCTACTAAAGTGGAAGAAGCAAACTTTCAAATCAGGGTCACCAGAAGATACAGTTTCCAGATTATCTGCTCTCAGTATGGAGCATGGTACTGGTAGTCCTTGATTTACAACAGTTCATTTAGTGAACACTCGAAGTTACAGCGGCTCTGAAAAAAGTGACTTATGAGCATTTTTCATTCTTACGGCTGTTGCAGCATCCCCAGGGTCACGTGATCAGAATTCATATGCTTGGCAACTGGTTCATATTTATGACGGTTGCAGTGCTCCAGGTTCACGTGGTTGTCTTTTGTGACCTTCTGACAGGCAAAGCCAATGGGGAAACCTTAAAAACCGTGTTACGAAACAACCGTAGTGATTCACTTAACAACTGTGACAAGAAAGGTCGTAAAATGGGGCAGAACTATCTCGTTTAGCGACATAAATTTTGGGCTCCACTGTGGTCGAGTATTACCTGTCTTGAACGTTGAGGATCCAGCAACAGGCAAATGGGGTCCTGTTTATGTTGCATAGCAGCAGCGAGACAAAGGGCTAAATTGCGTTGCAGAGAACACGAAAGGTGGCCCCCAATGCCCTGTGAGACCATTGGGGATAATTGAAGGAAGGGCTCCATCCCATTAGCGAGAACACCTCAGTAGAAGGAACGCATATACCACATCCTGGGGGCACAGTGGCGAGAATTCAGTACTGCAGGCTACTTCTGCTGAGTTGCTGGCTGCCAGCAGTTCGATTCTGACCAGCTCAAGGTTGACTCAGCCTTCCATCTTTCCGAGGTCAGTAAAATGAGGATTGTTGGGGGCAATATGCTGACTCTTTAAACAGCTTAGAGAGGGCTGGAAAGCACTGTGAAGCGGTATATAAGTCTAAGTGCTATTGCTATCCTCAGACACACCCCTATTTTAGCGAAGGAGAAGAGGCTTTGGGGGGGGGAGTTAGGAGAAAGGGAGCGGGAGAGTCTTCCCTCAGGTGAAGCAGGAGAAAGTGCGAGGGCAAAACAACCCCTCTCTCTCTCTCACACACACAAACACGCCTCTCTCCCCGCCTCCCTGTCCGGCTGAGCAGCTGCTGGCAGAATGCGCGCCAAAGGGGGCGCACACAGAGCCCGCGCCGAAGGTAAACAGAGCCTGGGAAACACGTGGCCGCTGCCGCTACTGCTGTTGGCGGTGGCTGCGCGTCTTCTCCGCTTGGCAAGTCCCGGCCTCTCGGCTGTCTCTCTCAGTCACCCGGCTTCAGGCGTTGCGGGAGCCACCGCCGGCATTCAGAGGATTGTTAACAGTTGGGCGCTATCCGAAGCCGCTTCCCTTTTTCCACCTCGCGAAGAGGTGGCGGTGAAAAAAAAAAAGAAGAAGAAGCGAGGAGCCTCCCCCGGGCTTTACGGAATAAGCAGCCTTCCATCCTCCCTCAGAAGAAGGCTTTCCCGCCTTCTTCTTCCTCCCCTCCTCAGCGAGCGGCGGTACCGGCACCCTTCCTTCCCCCCCCTCCCTTCCGCAAGACCAGGCGGCGCGCAGGTGGCGGGAACGGAGCGAAGGGGGGGGGGGGGGGGGGGGGGGCTCAGCTGGCGGGAACTGGCCGGGATTTGCTTCAGGGCTGCCTCCGAGCGCCCTGCGGTCGCATCTCCCCGCCGACCATGTTCCTCCTCCGCCGCTGTAACGGCAGCCGCTCGCTGCCGCGTCTCCTATTGGTGCTGGGGATTTCGGCCCTTGTGGCCGGGGCGGCCGCATCGTGCTCTTCCTCGCCAGCCGGCGAAGATTCGGTGCAGGGGCTGGTCCGGCTCGCCTCCGTGGTGATCGAGGGCAAGGTCCTGGCTCACAGCGTGGCCGAACTAACGGCTGGCCGAAGAGGAGGAGGAGGAGGAGAAGAAACGACGTCGCTGGGGTCGCCGCCGTTGAGGCTGTCCGTGCAACCTGCCGCTGCCGCCGCCACCACCATCATCCTCATCACCACCAGCTCCTCCTCCTCTTCCTCCTCCTCAGGAACGATCCTCCCCTCCTCGCCGGCTCCCAGCCCCCCGCTCCCGCACCTCGGCAGCCCGAGCTTGGCGCCCGCCTCCGCCGTAGCTCGAGTGCGCGTGCACCAGGTGTGGCCGGCGAAAAGCGGCGGGCTGCGGAAGGACGCGCTGCTTTGGCTGCTGCTCGGAGAGCGGGGCTCCGCTTGCGGGAGCGCCTTGAAGGAAGAGGGTCGCTACGTCTTCTTCATGGAGCCCGTGGCGGCAGCTTCGGGCGGGAACAGCAGTGAGTCGCCGTCCTCGCCGCCGCCGCCGCCGCTGCTCTTCCGAGCGTCTTCCCCGCCCCTGGAGACGGGCAGGAATCTCAAGAAGGAGGTCAGCAGGGCGCTGTGTACCCGGGGATGTGGTAAGTCAGCGGGCGGCGGTTGGGAAAGAGACGGGGCGAGTGGAGAAAAGAAGAGGTGGCTTGGGCTCCCCAGCATAGGGGAGGTGGGAGGTGAATGAAGAAGAAAAAGAAGAAGAAGAAAAAGAAAGAAAGAAAGAAAGAAAGAAAGAAAGAAAGAAAGAAAGAAAGAAAGAAAGAAAGAAGAGGGGGAGGGGGTTTCTTAAAGTCGGCCGGCCGGTTCCTTATTTTCTCCCCTCCCCTCTTTCACGCTCCCTGGGTTTCTGTACGATTTGCACGATGGTGCGGTTTCAACGATTTTCCAAGTGTGTTTCGATGGCTGATTTTTTTTTCCCCACCCCAGAAGTTGAGTGACAAGGGTGGGAAACTTTGCTGAAAGCTCTCGGAGCAACAAGCAGGCTTACACGTCTTCCTCTTTGGAGAAAGAACGCGGCGGGGCTTTCTTGGAGGTAGAGCTAGCTAGTTGGCGAAGTCTTTCAGGCCCTCAGGAGAAGAAGAGAAACTGCAGGGCGACGGGGGCGGAGGGGGGTTTGTTCCTCTTTGCCTCATCCAAAGGCCTCAGGTGTGCATTTTCTTTCTTTGGGGAAAAAAAAAAAGAAGCATTTTGAAAGCAGGCCGGATTTGTTAGGTTTGGATGTTAGTAGGTTGATCGTTGTTCGTCTTGGTGTGTTTGATTGCTAACTTTAGTGAGGTTGACAATTCCAGCCTCTGATAAATGTTGCTTTATACTGTACTATATTGCTAATTTATTCTGTGGCTGTAGAAAGTATTCCCCTGGCTAGTATTTGACATGTGACATTGTACAGATATTTTTGCTTGATTCTTGACAGGGCCCAGTCGTTATGTGAGAGCAACCTTAATGTCGTTTGATTTCCCCCCACTCCCAAAATTTGCTTCCATCAACATGAACCGTATTAAGCAATTTTTCATATGCCGATATTCTGTTATTTCCGTGGCTGCAAAATGTTCAGTCTCTTCTTCCTTACTCCGTTTCTAAATGCATCAGCATCCTGTAAGTGATTGTGAGATGCTTGCTTTAAGTTGTTTGTCAGTGGAGTGCCTAGTCATGTTTTATAACACCTGAAATTTAGTCTTGCCAGTACTATTTAATGTTTGCATTGTAGCCGGGAGTAGATGTGTGGCTAAAGGGCAGAAAGACAGAAGCAGAGGTGCTGAAGAAGGATAATTCTCGTCAAATTCAGAAATGTTGTCTGTCTTTTTTATTTGATGTAATTTCATACAGATTCGTATTGATCTGAATTGGCATGTACTTTCAGTACTATTTAGTTGGTTAATTAATTAGTTATAATTTGGGCTTTTTATAGCGAAGAAATGGCAAATTGTCCTAGAATTACTGCAGAGGGGAACTGTCCATACTAAACGGTGCTGATTTTGAGTGAATGACCTGGGGATTCCCTAGAACTGCAGGATAGATGTCACTGTAAAACAAGGGAAATACTCTGTGGAGACCTGATTTATATTGGCTGATATAAAAGCTGAGCATTTCTCTGGAGGAGACTGGTTTTCTCTGGTGGTGCAGAAGGAAAGGGGAATGTTTTTTCTATCCCCTGTAGTGATATGATACATAACATGATTTGGTCAACTACAAAACAGAACTGGGCATTGACATCACATGAAATAAGCACATAAAAGGAATTTCTGGAACATCAGAATCTTATTTTGTCAATTCTTAAGTATTGTAAGATATCTCATGAGATTGTTATTTAAAGATTCAATGTCTTCTGACTTTAATTAACTTATGTGGTGGCATTCTATACCAATATCCTAAAATACAGTATAAAATCTGGTCTTCTAGGTACCAGTAATTTATCATTATACTTAGAGTACTTTAGAGGTGGATGAATTGATATAACTGCATACATACACACACACACACACTATACACTTTCTCTGTCTCATTAGGATGCAGTTATGGAGTCCTGTTAAAAGTAATACAAGGGAAAATTCAAAGGAGAAATAAAAAACAATAAGCACACTTAATGTGCACATCTGTTATACATTATACAACATTATTACCGATTTTCAGGGAACGTGGATGTACACTCTGTCTGAACAACTTGATCTTTATAATTTATGCCTCAGTGTTTCTTCACTATTTCGATATCTGCTGATGGTACAGTAAGAAATGGAATGTTTATATGTTATTGTCAGTGCTATTTAGCTTTATACAAGACTTTTGCCTTAACTATATTGAAATTACCTATTTCCAAGAACAAAGAGGAGAGGAACATAACTGAGTAATCTACCTAACTTCTAACATACAGTACTGCAGTTTTTATATTTGTAATGTGAGGATTGAAAACTGATCATTGGATTTCAGAGGCAAGTTCATTAGAAACCTGCAAATACAAGTTCTGCTTTCTCAATAGAGGATTCTATACCATTTCCTTTGTCAATAGCAAACTGAATTTTTCCAGCTTTTAGTAACTGCATTCTTAAAATAGAATCTGTTGACCTCTCAGTGCTCCAGACACTGCAGTGTAGCCCCAAATATCCATAAAGGTGGTGTAAAACATATTTTATAATGTTGTTAAGTAAATAAGGCATGACGTAAACATATGCTATTATCTGGTTCCAGACTCATCCGCTCAGTTAAGATGTCATGTCAAATCATGGTTTTATAAAGCTGGTGTATTGCTTTATACTTCGGCTAAATTAACAAAGTACAGGTTTTGACATTGATTATATACCTAGAATTAGATGTTATAACTGTATTTTCAAAGCAGGAATTTTGTAAGCAATGGCTGAAATCTTTATGACCTGGTTTAGAAACAAGCAAATTATGATACTGCTGTTATATTACATGCAAATCAGACATACATTTGAAGTAGTTTGGCAGTACAGTCTAGATTGATAGAATAACAGGGGCCATTCATGCTGCCTATAAAACAATTATGCCTAGATAGAATATTGCTCAATAAATAAAATGTGGAAAGCAAAGAACTCAAAATGTGGCTCTACTTATACTTTGGAAAGCTCAGTTTAGACTCTAAGCCATGGTTAGCTTGGATATTGGAATTCAGCCATTAAATGATCAGCTGGTTCAGATCAGGATGCATTCAGCCTGCACTTAAACTGCAGTTTATTCAAAAGGCTTAGCATTTCTGCACTGTTATAGAAGCCAGTAAACTTGTGAAGTTTTATCAGGATAGAAATAATACTTTTTGGTCATTTTTAGATGGTGATTTTTTTATATCTTGAAACTGAATTTTTGACTTTACAGGTAGTCCTTGACTTACAACCATTCATTTAGTGACCATCTGAAGTTGTAACAGCACTGAAAAAAGTGGCTTACAACCGTTTTTCATACTTATGACTGTTGTAGTATCCCCATGGTCACATGATCAAAATTTGGGCACTTGGTCATTGACATGTATTTAGGACAGCTGCACTGTTCCAGGATCATGGGATGACCATTTGTAACTTCAAGCCTTCCCAGCTGGCTTCAGACCAGCAGAGTTAATCGGAGAGGCCAGATTCACTAAACACCTGCAGTGCTTTGCTTAATTGTGGCAAAAATGTTGCAAAATGGGATGCAACTCACTTAACAATTGCCTTGCTTAGCAATATAAATTTTGGGCTCAGTTGTGGTTGTAAATCGAGGACTACCTCTCCATTCTTAGGGAAGAAGTTTTATTAATCTCCCATACATACACAAGTGCAAAATAATGCTAAATATAAACCTCAATGATGATTCCTTATAAAAAATAAGGGTATAGATCATTCATTCTGCACTTTATAAAAAATAAGCACTGCATAGGTGAAGGCAGAAAGATAACCTCTTTTTCATGATGTGGTAAAGCTCAGACATGCTTTCAAATGAAAGGGATGTTAGAAAACATCTTCCCATTGTTTGACAGTCTATCTAATTCTATGCTGCAGAAATAATTAAGTATGAGCATCCCTCTTTTGTGTAGTTCCAGCATTGTTTATAGACAGAGTGCTTTGGTGATGACGCCAGTTAACATGCAATTTCCATGCAGTACATACTTTACTGACATAGTGACAGGCAGCAGGAATTCATGCAGCTTGCCAGTGGAAAAGGCCAGCTGCTACCAATGGCAATCAATAGGAGGAAAACGGGAATCCCCTCTTTTACTGTAACAATTGCAGAAGCAGTGATTACTTCAATGGCTTTGCAAATATGTAATTTCTGACTGGATTGCTGGCTTTATTGCTATAATATCTAGGCTCCTAGCCCATCGTTATCAAGATATTTGCCCAGTGCTGATCAAGATGCATCTTTTGTCACCTTCCCAAAAGTGCTGGTAAAAATGAGTATTTTATCTCTTATGTTCAGTGATGCTGCAGTTCACTGAGATAATGCTGGCCAGTGCTGATCCCCGCTCTGAAAGATGATGCAAGAATCAGTACAGTAATAAGAAAAATGGAATAAGATGTTCAATTCTGAAATATTCCACTTTAGATTACCGGTATATGCAAGTGAATGTTTCTATAGGTATGCAGATGGTCCCTGAATATTTATCCATATAATAAGCTCCTTGTTTCTACTAAATTAGATTAAAAATGCATTTAATCCTCTTTTTATGTATTAGTTCAGTGCATACTTAGTGGTTTTGTTTGTTTGTTTTTAATGTAAAGGAGCATGCAGACATATGTCTATTCATTTGCAATCTGAGATACAGCTGAGAAGGAGTATTATTTTAATCTGTTTATAGATGAGTGGTTACTGAAGGTAGATATATCTAATTATTTTATATGTGTCTTAATTATGTGTTTAATATGCATTTGCTTAATAATAATTATGGATTAATAATAAATTCCACTGTATTTGTTTTGTTTGTTTGTTTTCAAGAAAGAGGATGCCACATTGCCAAGCAGTTGATATAATCTGGCCCAGGATTTGTATTAATGGACTTTAAATAGGATAAAACATGTTAATCTGCTGCTTTCTTCAGACCATATAAGGCAGTTGTGAGTCCAATGAAAACTAAAGTTAGCATCTTCCCTTTATACTGCAT